GCTCTAGGTGGTTTTAGTGTGGCATGTTGGTCGAGAAACTTGTACTAGATAAGATGAGGTTATATAACCTGAAATGAGTGCTAGCGGAATTGATTAAGGTATGTTTGGATATGAGAAGATGTCACTAGTCAGCATAGAATCTGGCTATGGTTCTTGGCAGGTGAGAGAGCTCCACGACTTGTTGATCTGATGAGTGGTTATAAGTTCTCGCATGTTTCTTTCCTTAGTAGTTTACTAAGGTCCAAAAAATGGTTTTATTTGATATGAGGTATGTCGCCAGTACCGGGTTTATTGTTAAGCAGTTATCATGGTCGGAAGTAATGACTATGAGTATTTGAGTTAGGTGGTATATCATGTGATTATATCTCGAATTATGATTATGATTGATACAACTTGTTTAGACTTATACAGTGTATAGATGTGAGAATCGGGTCACATGATGAATTTCAAATGTTTGAGATATTGTTTTAAGGTTTGTGAACTAAGGTTGAAGGAAGAATCTTCAGTTAGGTGGTGTTTACGGGCTTATATGGATTGGGGTGATGTGGGATCACCCATAGGTATGTGTATGGTGAGTTTATATAGTGATTCGATGGCTTTGTGACAACTCTTGGCACATTCGAGGATGAATATATTCAATGGTTTCATATTGTGTATTATGACTTGCGCGTGTGGTCGGTCTTGGTTTTTGAATGGTTCGGTATTGATTTGGAAGAATGATTCTAAATTTAGAAGTCTTAAGTTGGAAGAGTTGACTAAATTTGACTTTTGTATATTTCACCTTGGATCGGAGTTTTGATGGTTCTATTAGGTCTCGATGGGGATTTTGGATTTGGACATATACCCAAATTTGTATTTAAATATTTCTAGAAGGTTTTGGCACTATTTGGCGAAATTTGGCAATCTAAAGCTATGAAAGTTCATCAGTTTGATTGGGAGTTGACTTCGATGTTATCGGGTTTGGATTGTTGTTTGGTAGTTGGAATAGATTCATTACGCCATTTGAAACTTGTGAGCAAAATTTGAGGTGATTCCTAGTTGTTTGGACGTGGTCGGCATTAAGTCTGGAATTTGAAAATTTGAAATTGTTCATTAAGCTTGGATTGAGATACGATTCATGGTTTTGATATTTTGTGTGATTTGAGACCTTAAGTAGGTGTGTGTTGTTCTTGGGACTTGGCATGATTGGAGGGGGTCTCGAGGGGCTCGGGTGTGTTTCGGATTGATTTCGAATCAATTAGGAGTGTATTGGCAAGTCTATTTTGTAGTGTTCTGCATATGCAATTGTTTTTGCCAGTTGCAGAAGCACTTGTTTTGTCACACCTGCGAAGAAGGATGGAGGTTGGGATGTCTGTAGATGCAGGTTCCTGGGCGCATCTACGGGACCATAGAAGCAGTCACTTAGGCGAAGAATCGAGAAGGTAGACTGGAGTGGTTTAGCGCAGAAGAGGGATTTGCATCACACCTGTGATAGCGTAGAAGTGAAAGGATGTAAGCATGCGAGAGAACAACAATAACAACATACCCAGTATAATCCCACAAGTGAAGTTTGGGAAGGGTAGTGTGTACGCAAACCTTACCCCTACATGGCGAGGTGAGAGAGGTCGGGATTTTAAATTCTATCCGCAGAAGCGGGGTTTTTGTCGCAAAAGTGACTATTGAATCGCATATGCGAAAGTGCTAGGGAGAAGTTTTATATTTTGAGGGTTGAGTTATTTATCACATTTTGATTTTTGGATCTTGGATTTGGGCCTTTTTTAGGCGAATTTGTCCGGTTGGATTGGGATAAATATTTTTAATCGGATTTGAATATGATTCATGATTCTATCTTTGATTTTAGCATTTGATTGGTGAATCTAAAAGATAAATTGAGGGTTGTTGTCAATAACTTTTTTAAAGTGAATAATTTGGTTTTAAACATCGATTCAGAGTCGAATTTGGATAAAACTAGTATGGTTTAACTCGTATTTGAATGAGATATCAGAATTTATTAGTTTTGTCAAGTTTCGGGGTACGGGCTTGAGTTGACTTTGTGGTTGACTTTGTGTATTGATGGTAGGCTAGGAACCCGTATTGTGGCTATATTTTCGCACTCTAATTACTACACTTTGATTGTATTGGAGCCTAATTATTAGTACTTTGTACTTATTACGTGTGTTATGTTGTGTACGATGTGATTTCGACTACAGAAGCAAGTTTGGAGCTAAAATTGATGATTTGTAGCTTTGAATTCTGAGTAGAAGACCAATAATTAAGACTGAATCATGTTCGAGGGTCGAGGACCAAGTATGGATGTTAAAAATGTGAGGAAAAAAAGATTACTCTGAGAAATGTACTACCTCCCCGCACCATGCACCGCGAGGCACGGGATGCTAGTGCACAATTCTTGCAGAGTGGAAAAAATAGGCCTCTGAACTTTCCATCGCTAGAGCAAATTATTTGCACGTGAGTTATCCGTGCAGTGCATCATGTGAGTTGTCTGTGCGATTGATTCTATTAGCACGTGAGTTGTCCATGCAGCGTATGGATATGGATCCATCCATATAGAGTCACCCTCTAATGTTTCTCTCTTGATGGTGTACAGGCGGTTATTAGGGAAAACTGATCAGTGGTTTGGTACGGATTTGGAAAGGTTGAGGAAAGTCTGGCCAGTGTTGTTTTGGAATTGCATTTCATCTTTACTTGCAATTTTAATGATTTAATATCTGATTTATCTGTATATCAGATAAATCACATAGAGATAGTCCTGTCAATACCTTATACATGATCATGTTACAATTATGTACTTGTTGGATTTATGAAACTGTATAAGTTATAGCAGGTATTATATATAGTTCTTGCTTCTTTTACCTCGCTGAGGTTAGTTACTATACTTATTGAGTATATTGGGTCGGTTGTACTCATACTACACTCAGCACTTAATTGTGCATATCCAGGTGTGGGGACCAGTTATCATCAGTAGATTTGCTTGTTTGACTGATCTTCGAGAGGCGAGGTAGAGTTGCATCCTTGGCCACAGCTTTGACTTGTCTTTTCTTATATACTGTTATTTCAATTCTGACAGTATTATTATTCAGTTTAGACTTTTATTCCATTGTAGAGCTCATGACTCCGTATTTACCAGTTTCTGGGTGATTTACCTTGTATTAACCGTATTTGGTTGTATGTATTGAGATTTCATACTTATGCTATTTCTATAAGTTTTGTTGTTCTATTTCATTATTGTTATGTTTTGGCTTGCTTAGCCGGCGTGTTAGGTGCCATCACGACAGGTTGGGATTTTGGATCGTAACAAATCATGAAGAGGATATGCTTAAAAGATAAAGTGTATTGTATTAAAAATATTTAGGAGGTTTTGTGATAATCCAAAAAGTTACCTTTAAATTAAATAACTATCTCGGTATTTTAAGACCTTGAAAAGTGGTATCAATAATTCCTTGACTTGTGTGCGCAGTCCATATAATTTTCTGGAAGGTTTTTATGTAAAAAAAATGGATTAAATTGTGAATTAGAGCTTTAAAACTTAATTGAGTTGACTTCGGTCAACATTTTGAGCAAACGAATCCGGATCCAAGTTTTAACCATTCTGGTAGTTCCGTATCGTGATTTGGGACTTGGTCATATGCCCGAAATTCATTTCGGAAGTCCCTAGCTCAAATTATCGCCATTTAACGGAATCTAGAAATCTAAGGCAAAAGATTTCTTAAGTTTGACCGGAGATTTGACTTTTGAGCAATGAACCCGGAATGGAATTTTGATGATTCCAATAGTTTCGAATGGTGTTTGGACTTAGGAGCATGTTCAGATTTGGATTTGGAAGTCCGTAGGACAATTTGACGCATTTTGGCAAAAGTTAGAAATTTGAAAGTTTTCGAGAAGTTTGACCGAGAGTTGACTTTTTGATATCGGGGTCGGATTCCGTTTCAGGAAGTTGGAATAGGTCCGTAATATCAAATGTGACTTGTGTGAAAAATTTAAAGTCATTCCGGAATGATTTTGGTAAGGTTTGAGACACTTAGTCTCTTTTAAGGAAGCTTAAATTGAAAAAGTCAACCGTATGTTGACTTATGTGTTAGAGGGCTCGGGTGTGAGTTACGATGGTTCGGTTAGCTCCGGGAGGTGATTTATGACTTAAGAGCGTGATTGGAAGGAGTTTTGGAGGTTCGTAGTAGATTTAGGATTGAATTGGCGAAGTTGATATTTTGGTATTTTCCGGTTGATAGGTGGGATTTTGATATAGTGTTCGAAATGGAATTTCAAGAGTTGCAGTAGTTCTGTTGTGTCATTTGGGATGTGTGTGAAAAAATTTCATGTCACTCGGATGTGGTTTGGTTGGGTTTTTTATCAAAAGAGTGATTTAAAAGATTTTGAAATTCTTAGGCTTGAATCCGATGCGAATTTGGTGTTGTGATGTTGTTTTATACGTTCCAAAGGTTGGAACAAGTTTGAATGATGTTATGGGATATGTTGGCATGTTTGGTTGAGGTCTCAGTGGCCTCGGGTGTGTTTCGGGTGGTTAAACGGACTATTTCATCTTTGGAAAAGTTGCAAATTTTTTTGAGCTTCAGTTGTGCACCAGAAAATTTCTAGTGCGAGGAGTCCCGTTTGAAAGCTCATATCTTGAAATCAATAAGGAATCCGAAAATTTCAAAACATGAAAGTTGTATTCCTTGCATTCTAGTTTCTAGAAAGTTAAACCATTTAGAATTTGGATATGCTAGCAGAAAGTTATGATGGATCGAATATGGCTGGTGGATCTGTTTTGACAGAATTTTTTGATGCATTTTAGAGGCTCATATCTCGGAATATATAAAGAGTTATATGGTGTACAACCTATCAAATGAAACATCTTTGAGTCTAGTTTTTTAATATTCAAACATTTGTCATTTGGATATTTTCACAAGGAGGTATAGGTATTTTAACAGAAGGTGTACAGCAGGGAAAATGGTAAGAGGATGTACAACCTGCACAACGCAAGGTACAACTCGATGAAGCCTGGGCAGATTGTTTTTAAGTCCTCTTATCCGCGATTTGGGTCCATTTTTCAGCCATAGTTGATCATTTTGAGAGCTTTTTTGAAGGGGATTGAAGAGGGATTCAAGGAGAAACGTTTGGAGGTAAGAATTTCGGACCTAAAACTCGTTTATATTGTGAAATTCACCTAGAAAATCATTGAATTCTTGCTAAAAATGGAAGAAATAGGGCTTGGGATTTTGAGATTCTAATTGGGGATTTGGAGGACCATTTGGGGTCGGATTTGAGAACTTTTGGTATGTATGAACTCGTGGGGAGATAAGGAACCGGTTGATGTAAAAATTTATGAATTTCAAGAAGTGGGCTCGGGGCTCGGGTTTTGCTAATTTCGGGATTTTTGATGTTTTTCGATTGTTTTTGCTTGGTATTTGTTCCCTTAGCATATTGTGACGTATTCGTTATGATTTTGGATAGATTCAACGCGCGTGGAGGCTAATTCGAGCGGTAAAGGCGTCGCGAGCTAAAGAATTAGCCGGTTCGAGGTGAGTAATGATTGTAAATGATACTCTTGAGGGTTTGAAACCCCGGATTGCACATAAAAGTGCTATATTGATGTGAGACACACATTTGATGACGAGCGTGTGGTCGTATACTATTGGTGATTGTGACTTGGTCCATCCCGCATTGATGATTTTATCGCATTTTTTACTGAGACTTATTTGTTTTCATTATGCTTTGGGCTAATTGTCATATTTGGGCTTCGTGTCAACTATTTGAATCCTTTGGGTATTTTTACTACCATTTCCTCATTGTTTTGACTTATTACTTGAACTCAGTCCTGTTATTTTTTCACTATTTTACAACTCAGCCATTTTACTCAGTTTGAGATTTAAATGATATTCTAAATGATGTTTTGGGCTGAGAAATATTGTTTTACTATTGCCCGAGGGGCTTGTGATGATTTTGGACTGATTAAAGGCTGAGGGCCTAGTTGTGAGGATACACTAGTACTGATATGAGGCCGAGAGCCTGAGATACTTATATACGCCATGAGGTGGCTTGATTGATATAAGGCCGAGGGCCTAGATTTGACGCCACAAGATAGCTTGAAATGGCGCTTGGGCCGTAAGGGGCCCCTCCCGGAGTCTGTACACCCTAGTGAGCGTGGGTACCCATTGTGATCTGATATTGAGCCCGAGGGGTTATTACTGTTCTGATATTGAGCCCGAGGGGCTGTTACTGTTCTGATATTGAGCCCAATGGGCTGTTACTGTTCTGATATTGAGCCTGAGGGGCGGATTTTTTGATACCATGCCCGAGGGGAGAATTTCCATTTTGTTACTCACTTGTAAACTACTTGTTTTACTTGTTGGAAAAATGGATTTTTACTTGATTTTTCACCGTTTTACTATTTAAAGTGATTTTACTACTTCAGTATGGAGTGCTTTGTGTTGTTACATGATTTCTTATCTTCAGTCATTATTTATATTTATTACTTACTAGGTCGGAGTACTCACATTACTCCTTACACCATGTGTGCAGATTCAGGCATTGCTGGTTCCGCTCCTGAGTGTTGATTCCTCCAATTTCAGGCGGCTTTCAAGGATTACGAGGTAGTTGTTAACGTTTGCACCCCTGTGTCTCTATTATCTTGTATTTTATATTCCTTACGGACATGGTACTAGTTATTGGATTAGCAGACTTGTATTATGACTCATAGATGCTCATGACTTGTGACACCCCGGTTAGGGCTGTGTCGGGCTGGATTTCCGCATATTTTTTTATCTATATTTTCCCCTATTTAGTATTATTAAACCATTTTTAGACTATATTTTTGTTAATTAACTACTTTAAAAGATGATTTGGGTTAGACTGGCTGGCCTTGTCTTCACGAGAGGCATCATCACGACCGGGTTCGGGGTTAGGGTCGTGACAAGTTGGTATTAGAGCCCTAGGTTACATAGGTCTCACGAGTCATAAGCAGGTTTAGTAGAGTCTTGCGAATCGGTACGGAGACGTCTGTACTTATCGTGGGGAGGTTGTAGAACCTTTAGGAAAAATTTCACATTCTTGAAATTCTTATCGTGCATCCTTGATTCAACTTGTGATGTAACTCTTTGAATTCCTTCCATGCGTTCGTATGCGCACATGAGCGCTCGGTATCTGCTGTGCATCGACAGCTTGCGATTCCCTGGATGAGGTGCGAGATGTGATTTATATGTGTGATGTTGGGCCAGTCTGGAGGACTTGAGGCCAGGTTTTGTCTGTGGCTTGAGTATTGAGATTTCGATTGTGTGAGCACGTGCATTTGGGACTTATATGTTCATTTATGTCCTAATTGGTGGGATTTGTGACTGCATGACTAGGAGTGAGTATGATTTGATTGCGAGATGTGTTCAAATTGTTTGAATGTGACAGGAAGAGTTTGTTGAGGATGTAGCAAGGATTATTGGATGTTTGACTTCTGTCTTGAGTTGGCATATGGCCTCGAGATATGGGTGTATTGAAGGACCTCTCGTGTAGTTTAGTTGTGGAGCGGAGTAAATCTTCATGTTGTGTTATGAGGTCAAACTCAGAGGGGGGTTAAGTGATTGTGTAATAGTTATGATTATGAAAGAGTATAGAGAGATACCAGTTTGAGGCTAAGAAAGTGGATTATCTTCTGTGTGATGTTCTGAAGTTTGTGCGATCCTTTTGTTGTTGGTTGGCAGTCCTCTTTTACCAGTGAAATATACATGTTGCAATTTGAGTTTGGATCGCTTATGATAATGGGCTTGATTGTTACGAGGGTGAATGCGAGATTTGCAAATGGTTTAAGGAATTCGATGGGTTGTGTTGCATTAGCTTATGAAGGATTTAGCTTAATCTCATCCAGTTGGGGCAGCTCAACCAGTTATTGCGGCACGGGTTGATGACAGGCCTGCCTTGTCTTTTGAGGCTTTGCTGAGATTGGACAAGTTTACCAAGCTATTTCCAGTCCATTTCAGTGGTGCACCTTCTGAGGACCCACATGATTTTCTGAACCGCTGCTATGAAGTATCGTAGAACATGGGAGTAGTTGGAAGCAATGGGGGTTGATTTTACTGTGTTTCAAATGACAGGTTCCGCCAAGAGGTGGTGGAAAGATTATGTATTTACTAGTCTCGTAATGGTTCTGTCTGAAGATGCGGATGCATTGAAAAGATCACCCAGTGAATCATGTAGGGGTGAAACGGACCTTGGCGTCTGGTTGATTTATATGAGTTAAAAAAACTACTTTACATTAACAGAAGGTCTGCTCAGTGTGGAAGTCAAGGTTGCAGATTTTGGGGTGCTACAAAAGATGTACAGGGGTTGACGATCTTCTGGACTATGTAGTTCGTGCCAAAATTTATCTTGATGGAGCTATACTTTTGTGATTATTGTGCATAATTAGGGGAAAGAGCTACCCCAAAGAAGAATCGAAGAGTATATGAATAAATAGGTTAGCTTAGCAGTGTTGAGTCAACATAGCAAAAGAAGAAATTAGTCGCCGGTGTTTGTGGCAAGCCTATGAAGAGGGCAGACTAGCCAATACAACACCATTTACTCGCCTCAGTTCTCAGAAATATTTTTGAAGGAGTTTGTCTCCTGGATTCTCTATAATATGTGGTATATGTGGTCTGAACAGTTGTGTCAGGGCACCATGATAGTGTCAGAATATGTCATCAGGTTCAATAAGTTAGTCGTCATACTCCTACTTTATTTCTTAAGCTAGAGAGCGAATCCATAGACTCATTAAAGGACTCAATTATGATGTTGAAATTTTGTACAACTCGGAAAGCTACAAGCTGATACTTCATCTCAGCTAGTGGTAGAAATTGCCAAAATGTTAGAATGTGTTCTGGATGAGGAAAAGAGGAAGCTAAGGAGACCAATAGGTCTCGAGGTTTTAAAGGATTCAGCGGATTCTACTCTACAACTACAAATCATTATGACAGGGGCTCGGGTAGCCGGCTAGCCCAGTCAATATATCTGATTACTCGGGGTGCTCTAGTAAGTTCTTTTAATGCACTGCCGATACGAGCTTCGCATAATGGTTATTCCAGTTATCTAGCATAGACTCAGTATGAGCAGCTGAAGCCTCAAAGGGATTGTTATGAATATGGTAGTACTAGGCATATCATGGAAAAATTGTCCTAGACTTGGGAGAAACATATTTTATAAAATCACTCGGGCTACGTGCCCTATTGCAGTTACCACTCCACTTAAATGACCAGCCAGAGGTAGGGGTTAGGATGTTAGAGGTTGAGGTGATACTCCTAGAGGTGGAGACCCAACCCGTTGATATATTTTCTATGGTATGGCTGAGGTCGCAACACCAGAGGGTATCATTACACGTACGGTCTTGAATTATTATAAAACAACAATTTTCTTAACTTGATTCGGTTCTGAATATCGAGGCAAGTCCTCCTATTGTGCTCCACTTATGAGTGAGCTTCGTAATTATGAAATCTGCTTATGTGAATACTCATGTTGGGAGATTCAATGGAGATAGTTATGTCTATCATTATGTGTTGTGATTTTGTTAAACAGAAATTATTCAAAAGAAGAAAATGGAATGTTCTAATTTGGCACGATGTGCATATTACTTGTGGTACAGAGTTGAGGATGAGATCCTTGTATTTTAATATAATGAGAAATATTTAAACCGGGCTACAAGTTGCGGTAGATGTTATATAAGGATCAGGTCCTTGTGGTGAAAAAAAATCTTGTATGAATATCATTGTGATAATGTCGTGCTTGTAGTGCGGAGATTAGTGTTATTGATATATACTTGGTGGTGCCTTGCTAGGTTTTGGACATGTTGTTAGGAGTTGTTTTGGTGTTACTCTGACAGGTGGATAGGCCCAATTACAAGGGAGACTCTGCCGAAATTTCTGAAAAATTTGGGAGTTAGAAAAATTTGGGATATTGAGATGTGCAAAGAAAGAGATAAGTTACATTATGTGTTTGAAGACGGACTCTACTTCTTATTTGAGGATGAATGACCCTAAGTGAGGGAGAATGTAATATCCCATATCTGATGGGTGCGTAGGCATGAGTTGCTATAGCCAGTCGAGACTAATATCATGTGTTGACGTGAAAATCGTACCTTTCTAGAAATGATTGGAGTGTAAGAAATTTTGTCTTCAAGTTTACAAATATGGATAAAGGAAATAATCTCAATTGAAATGGTATTGTCAGACTTATGTTGAATGCGGTAATGTGGGATCAACCGCGAATATTTGTGTAAAAGAAAAATCATCAATTTGGCTACCTGAGAATAATTCTTAGTACGTTCGAGGACGAACGTTTGTTTTAGAGGTGGAGAATGTGATGATCCAAAATGTCACCTTTAAATTAAATAACTATCTCAGTATTTTAAGACCTTGAAAAGTGGTATCAATAATTCCTCGACTTGCATGCGCAGTCCATATAATTTTCCGGAAGCTTTTTATGTAAAAAAAATAGATTAAATTGTGAATTAGAGCTTTAAAACTCAACTGAGTTGACTTCGGTCAACATTTTGAGCAAACGAACCCGGATCCAAGTTTTGCCATTCTGGTAGTTCCGTATCGTTATTTGGGACTTGGTCATATGTCCAAAATCCAATTCGGAGGTCCCTAGCTCAAATTATCGCCATTTAACGGAATCTAGAAATCTAAGGCTAAAGATTTCTTAAGTTTGACCGGAGATTTGACTTTTGAGAAAACGACCCCGGAATGGAATTTTGATGATTCCAATAGTTTCGTACGGTGTTTTGGACTTAGGAGCATGTTCGGATTTGGACTTGGAAGTTCGTAGGACAATTTGACGCATTTTGGCGAAAGTTAGAAATTTGAAGGTTTTTGAGAAGTTTGACTGAGAGTTGAATTTTTGATATCGGGGTCGTATTCTGATTCAGGAAGTTGGAGTAGGTCTTTAATATCGAATGTGACTTGTGTGAAAAATTTGAAGTCATTCCGGAATGATTTTGGTAAGGTTTGAGACACTTAGTCTCTTTTAAGGAAGCTTAAGTTGGAAAAGTCAACCGGATGTTAACTTATGTGCTAGAGGGCTCGGATGTGAGTTATGATGGTTCGGTTAGCTCCAGGAGGTGATTTATGACTTAGGAGCGTGATTGGAAGGAGTTTTGGAGGTTCGTAGTAGATTTAGGCTTGAATTGGCGAAGTTGATATTTTGGTGTTTTCCGGTTAATAGGTGAGATTTTGATATAGCGGTCGGAATGGAATTCCAAGAGTTGAAGTAGTTTCGTTGTGTCATTTGGGATGTGTGTGCAAAATTTCATGTCATTCGGATGTTGTTTGGTTGGGTTTTTGATCAAAAGAGTGATTTAGAAGATTTTGAAATTCTTAGGCTTGAATCTGATGCGAATTTAGTGTTGTGATGTTGTTTTGAGCATTCCGAAGGTTGGAACAAGTTTGAATGATATTATGGGATATGTTGTCATATTTGGTTGAGGTCCCAGTGGCCTCGGGTGAGTTTCGGGTGGTTAAACGGACTATTTCATCTTTGGAAAAGTTGCAGATTTTTTTGAGCTTCAGCTGTGCACCAGAAAATTTCTGGTGCAAGGAGTCCAGTTTGGAAGCTCATATCTTAAAATCGATAAGGA